ACAGGCAGATCGACAAAGTACACTGCTGAGGGGAGCAGCGGGCGGGTCAGGAGAGGTCTGCCAGGCCATGTGGTCACCTCCGGGGCAGGCAGGAATCAAACTTATGCGGAAGCGGCTTTAGATTCTCAGTGTAGTGCTTTAACCTGCTGCGCCACCAGGGAGGGCCTCCTACACATTTTTAACTAAGTAGGAAACAAATATTTTAAATGTGTGATTATGTAGCAAAACAACTGTGTACAGTTGTACAAAATAAGTATCTACTGGCATTTCTAAATAGCAGCAATATGAGAGCTAAGTTACTTAATCTTCTCCTATCTGCTGAAACATATATTCTGGTTTGTATTTTTATGGCTAGCATGCATTATGTGAAGTTGGGATATGATGACAGAACTCTGATGAATGGGATCAGTGTCCTCATAAAATAACCGGGCCTTCCCTGGTGGTGCAACGGGTTAAAGAGAAGCACTACAAAGCTAGCTACAGTACCTTTAGCATGAGTTCAACCCTCAGCCAGGAAGCTGACCCACATGGTGTGGCAGACCTCTCCTGACCCACCCACTGCTCCCCTCAGTGGTGTATTTCAGTCAATCTGCCTGTTCTGCTTCCTTCCTACTCTATCTTCTGGTGAATCACCACCCCTGTATTTCTGGCCTGTACCCCAGTTCTTTATTCATTAATAAATCTTTAAAAAGAGAAACAGAGAGAGACCCCAGGGGGTTCTGCCCCTTCCACTAGGTAAGCACACAGGAGAGAATGCCATCCATGAACAGAAAACGGGCCCGGAACACACCACTGAAGACACCTTGATCCTGGACTTCTAGTCTCCATAACTGTGATAAATAAATTTCTGTCAGTTTTATGCCAGCCAGTCAACAACATTTTTTGTCATAATAATCCACATATTAAGATAATGTGTAAGTATCTGTTTCAGTCTCTGCAATCAGTTCTCTTGAATATATACCTAGAAGTGAAATTGTAGGTATGGTCATTGCATGTTTCTTTTTTTTGAGGAATTGCCACACTCTTTCCACAACAGCTGCAACATTTTTATATTCCTACCATCAATGCATAAGTATTCCCATTCCGCCATATCCTTGCCAGCAATTGTTATTTCCCATTTCTTGAAATAATAACCACCCTAATGAACATGAAATGGAGCTGTATTGATTTTTAAACTAAGATTTCAAATAAACCCAAACTGAGGCTTTTGCAACATGTGTAAAATCTAAAGTAGTTTAGAGGACCTCTGTGGACCTTTCATTAAAAGATGAACCCAGGGCCCTCTCTGGTGATAGAATGGGTTGAAGTAAAGGACTGTAAAGCTATTTGCAATCACTGCAACACAAGTTTGATCCCTGGCCAGGAAGCTGACCCGCATGGTGCACCAAACCTCTCCTGTCTTGCCCACTGCTTCACTTGGCAGTGTATTTCACTGGGTCTGCTTGTTCTGCTCCCTACTCTGTCTCTGATGAAAGCTCTCATCCACCTCACCTCTGGCCTGTAACCCTGTTCTTGCATGTATAAATAAATAAATAAATAAATCTTTTTAAAAAATTAATCCAGCGAATGAGAGTTTTTTAGCCAGATCAGACTCAAGAGGATTCATACAGATGTCTATGTACAGCATCTCTGATATTATCTGAGACCTAAAAGGGCATACGAGACCTTAAATATATAATATTCCAAAATGTGTGGGATGCAACTAAGCAGTACTTAGAAGAAAATTATAGCCTTAAGGCCTATATAACCTTTTAAGGAAGATCTAATGTGAATAACCTTAGATTCTACTCTAAGAAGTGAAAAGAAGAACAAAGTAAATTGAAGTTTTCAACATGATCTAAAATCTATCATGGATCATTCCCTTTAAATAAAATATTGAATGACCAATAAAGAAAGAAAAAATACAACAGATCCTACATTGAAAGGAAAACATGAAAATACTATAAAAATTTCATACCAACAAATCTGACAATAAATGGAAAGATGTCTTTAAAAATTTAATTTACCAAAAAGCTGACGAACACACACAAAAACCCTGAATAGCCAAATATCTATAAAGAAACTGATTTCACTAGCCAAAAAGAGAACTCCGGCCCAGATGATTTTACCAGTTAAGTCTATCAAACATTCAAAGATTTATTCACAGGTGTTCAAAGAACAGATGCAACTTGTTTTATTAGGTCTGCATAATCCTCACATCAAACTCATACAAAAACATGGAGGAAGGGGTAGAGGAAGAAGCATAAACCAATATCTTTCATAAAGATAAACACAGAACCCTTACCAAAATATCATTAAGTTGAATCCAACACTGCAGACAGAGAATATCATGACCAACTAGGATTCATCACATGATTCAAGGCTGGTTTAATAAAAATTCCACAAATAACTACAAATAATTCAAAATGGGTCACAGATCTAAGTAAACCTGTAACTATAAATCTTGTAGAACAATATAGGAGAAAATCTTTGTAATTTTGAAATAGGCAAAGGTTACTTAGATATAAGAGAAATGAAAAAGATGTAACATAAAAGAAAACATGGGTAAAGAATTTTGTTCTTTAAAAAAATACCATGAAGGATGGTTTCACTCACAGCAGGAGTATAAAGGACCAGGAGAGATAATAATAATAATGAACAACTATATACCAGAGACATTTTACAGGGGTGGAATGGGGAGTAGGATCAAAAACAGTGCGGGGAGGGAAGTGCACTGGACTATCTATGGTGATGGCACATGGGTGATTTGGTGATGGGAAGCCCACAGGGATTACAACTGAGATGGAAAAAGGCACAAAATGATGTAAAAATAAACTATTATATTAAAATTTAAAAAATAATAATAATACCAGTAAGAAGGGCCCTTCCAGGTTAGGATGCAGCACTACAAGCTGGCCACAGCCACTTCAGTGTGAGTTCGATCCCCCACCCCGGAGGTGACCCACATGGCACAGCAGACTTCCCCTGATCCACCCGCTGCTCCCCCTCCTCAGTGTACTTCATCCATCTGCCTGTTCTGCTCCCACTCTGTTTCTGGTGAATCCTCTCACTGCCCTGCACCTCTGGCCTGTACTCCAGTTCTGTATGCATAAATAAACAAATCTTAAAAAAAATATCATGAAGAAAACAAAAAATCAAGTCACATACTATGAGAAAATATGCACAACACATATATCAATGAAAGAACTTGTTTCAGAACTCAGAAACAACTAAATAAGAAGACAAAACACAGGTGTTCAAATGGAAAAAACAATCTGAATAGATATTTCAAAAAAGAATGTATATGAATGACAAACACCTGAAAATATACTACATATCATTAGAAATGAAGAATATTGAAATTAAAACCATAATGAAACACTACCACCTTACAAATTAATTAAAAGTTAAAAAAAATGACTGTACCAATGTCAGTGAGGACATGGACATTGGAACTCTCACATACTGAAGATAGGAATATAAATGGTATATTCACTTCAGGAAAGACTTTAGCAATTTCTTAAAATGTCAAACATAAACTCACCAGAGTTTAAAATGTTAAACATAAACTCACTCAGAGGACCTAGCCTTTCAACTCCTGGACATTTAGCCTAGAAAAATGAAAATATATGTCCACACAAAAACTCATAAACAAGATGTTCTGGCAATTGTATTTGTAATAGTTGAAAGTAGGGCCCTCCCTGCTGGCACAACAGGTTAAAGCAAAGTACTATGAGGTGATCCATAGCCACTGTAGCACAAGGTCAATACCCAGCGATGGAGGTGACTCGCATGGTAGGGCAGACCTCTCCTGGCCCTCCCACTGATCCCCTCAACATGTATTTCAGTTAATCTGCCTGTTCTGCTCCCTGCTCCATCTGTAGTGAAAACTCTCCCCCGCTGAACCACTGGCCTGTGTCCCGGTTCTTGTTTGCATAAATAAATAAATATTTTTTTTTAAAAAAAAGAAAGTATACACAACCCAAATGCCCATACTATATGAAAGGATAGATAGTGATAAAGCTATACAGTGGAATAATACTCAGCCGTTAAAAAGGAACAACCTACTGCTGCAGACAGTAACAAGGATGAATCCCAGAAACATTTCCTGAATGACAAAAACTGGCAAAAAAGTACACACTTTACAATTTCATTTAAATGAAATTCTATAAACTACACAAATGATTTAATGCACAGAAAGTAGTTCAGTGGTTGCCTAAGGACAGGAATCAAAGAAATGAACTAGAAATGGGTATGAGAAAAGGTGAAGACAAGGTGATGAAAATACTTACTATTTAACTGTTATGATAGCCTCAGTAATGTCAAAATTCACAAACTTCTATATCTTACACAAGCAGTTCATTATATTTCAGTTTTACCTTTAAAAGCTTTAAAATGATCAAGAAACTATCCTATAACTCTGCCTTACTTCGACTCTCAAGCCACAGATACTCTTTCATGTAATTCAACACAGTCAAAAGATATCATCCCCAAGACTAAATGTCTCCCAAAGCAGAAATTATAATTCATATTGAGGAACTAGCGTCTAAAGTGGCTGCCCGTCAAAACCTCTCAAGAAAAACCAAATCTGCCTTGCCTCTCGATCAAAAAAAAAAGCAGAGATTTATATAGATATCAATTTGAGGAAACCAACCAAATATAAGTAGTAGAAAGCACAATGAAAGAGGGGAACCCACTTACCTGAAAGTGTAGTTACCAGGAACAAGGTCAGACAAATGTAATACAGGGGAATCAGCTGAAAACTTCTCTCTGATGGGCCCATTGATTTCTTCCCAGTGATAACTCACTATATGAGTATCATCTGTGCTTTCTAGGAAGATTAAGAACTGAATGAGAATTGAAATGAAATGCAGAACGTGAAAACATAATGTTTATATTTTATATTATTGTATGTTTAAACTTGCTTTTATATGACATTATGTAACCACACAGGGATTTTAATGGAAGGAGGATATTTCTTCTCCCTTTCTAATCATCATCAATATTCTTTCCGTGGATTTCCACCGATTCGAGGTTGTTCCCACTTAAGTATGTATTTAAAAAACACAGCAATAGTTGCTTTTGCTTTCTGAAAACCAGGAGTCATCCACATGGGGCACATTGAAATGGTACTTCTACTCACCTCAACTACAGCATATGATAGCCCACTGGTAGTTAGGAAGAGGCATTTGACAGGCAGGGATACTCACCACTATACTAACGAGGAATGATAGGCATTTGAACTGACAGATTCATACAGTACAAGAGATGTCTATAATTTATAAAACACCTTTTATTATCTTGGGCATTAAGATGTAAATCCAGAAGAAGGTGTTAGCTCCCTCTACAAATCTCCCATTTCTATTTTAAAAGAGGAACAAAAATGGGCTCTACACAATCATAGAAACTTAGACCTGGAAGGGAGTTAGTTTCCTCTGATTCATTTAAGGAAAGAACATCGCATGGGGAGGATTAAAAATCCTGAGCCATTTCCTGTACCCAAGCTAAACTGAATTAAAATGCAACAGGTTTTCTTATATAAATATTTTTATTTATTTATTATCTTTATTTAAAATACACATTATTTTTATGTTGTGAAGGAGGAAATGTGGACATGTTTGAATTGATGCAAATTATTATGTTAGTGTGATCTCTGTACATCTAGAGTCTGGCATACGAGAGCAGCATTAGTGGCTGTCAAGTTGTCTACTCCCAATGACCAAGGAAAATATTCTTCACTCTACAATATTTGCTACTAGCTTTGTGACTAAATGCACATAACCCTAAAGACCGGTTATGCTGTTAGTGTTGAACATATTCTGTCAGATATCACATGTATATTCATCCACCTATTTATTAATATGCTGTCGAACACAGAATAGGATCTCAGTGGATTCTCAGTGGCATGGACACCTGTAGTTAATCTGGGGCCACTTCCACATCCAGAAGGAATGGAGTCTTAATTAGATTAACAACAGATTCTCAACTTCACAGAAGCCAACCCTTCTAATACCTGTTAAATGAGATTTTCAGGCATTCTGGGAAGGAGGAAGGAAAGGAGCAGCCATTATTGGATATGGCCTCAGGATCGGCCTGATCTTTCTTTTTTTCTATCATGTGCTCAGCTGATGCGAGCAGGGTAGACATGATCATCCTGAGGCAGTTTGGGGGTTGGGGGTAAAGGGGCGAGGCAGGGGTTTGTGTCTTAGCAGTTCTCATTCTATCTCTTCCTCTCCCTGTAGCCCTCCCTCTCTCTTCCCTTCTCCCCTCCTCTTCCCCTCTGTTCCTCTTGAACTTCACCTTCTCTCTCTCTTCTTGCTCTCCCCCTTCACACTCCACATAGAAACCTTTTTATTAAATACCTTTTTAACTCTCAAAAAAAGGTGACTCCCAACTTCTCCTCATTCACTACCCCAAAAGGATATTCTTTCATAAACTTTTAATTCCAATTCTACATGTTAAGCCTTAGAGAAACTTTTCCATAGACAAATGAGATAACTGAAGGGAGAGTGAGCCTGAGATAGAAAAGCCATGCTGAAAGAATTGAAGACCTTTAAGGATAAGGCTAAAGGGAGCCGCTCCTCTACCTGTGTATTGGTCCCTAAGTCCTTCCCACCTTGACAGAGAGCACCTATTAACCCTCACAGGGGGCCAAAACACCCTTGAGGAATCACAGGATACACACGGCTGCCGTCGATGCGGGCTGACGTCAAAGGCAAAGTGAGCTCCTGTCTCTGGGGAGAAGCAACTGCTCTGGGTGGCAGGTTGGTTCTTCTAGCTGTGACAGAAAAACAGGGACACTGGTAAGTCCACATTTCGTGAACATGTGTCGTCACCCCATAAAATCATCTACTTTTTAAAAATTGTTAAAAATCATCTTGGACAGCTGGTGTTTATCCCATGGGCCTCAACTATGGGAACTGCTTTTTTTTTTTTTTTTAAAGATTTATTTTATTTATTCGTACAGAACTGGGGTACAGGCCAGAGATGCGGAGGGTGAGAGGATTCACCAGAGACAGAGTGGGGAGCAGAACAGGCAGATCGACGAAGTACACTGCTGAGGGGAGCAGTGGGCGGGTCAGGAGAGGTCTGCCACGCCATGTGGATCTCCTCCGGGACAGGCGGGGATAGAACTCATGCGGAAGTGGCTTCTCTGTGCTGTGCTTTAACCCGCTGCACCACAAGGGAGGGCCCGGGAACTGCTTTTTAAAGATTTCTTTATTTATGCATACATGAGCTGGGGTGTAGGCCACAGGTACGTACAGGGAGGTGAGAAGATTCACCAGAGATAGAGTGGGGAGCACAACAGGCAGACTAAATGAAACACACTGCTGAGGGGAGCAGCAGGAGAGACAGGAGAGGTCTGCTGTGCCATGTGTGTCAGTTCCTTGGCTGGGATTGAACTCACACTACAGTGGCTGTGGATAGTGGCCTAGTGCTGAGAATTAGCCCCTTGCACCACCAAGGAGACCCAGAAGACTGCTTTTTAAAGTCTTGGACATCCCTATCCATCTTCAGAACTGGTCTGTGTGTTTGCCTTCCTGTACGTAAGCCCAGGCTCTATCAACACAGGTAATAAAAATTCAGGGTTTAGTCAGAGAATAAAGCTACAGAAAGGAGCAATATAGTGTGGCTCCAGCTCCCACAATCAGCTGGATCTGAAATCCTTCACTGAAGATACCACCCCCCACACCACCATCATTCTTTAGCTATAACAATAATCATACAAACTGTGCAAAAGGTAGAGCTGTCAGTCCCTCAGGTAAAGGGGAGTTGGCACAGAGGTGGCACTTGAATTGTGTAGGCTGTGCCCAAAGCCTACATGAGGAGGCAGAGATACAATATCAGCTGTTGTTCCACTGACCAAGCCAGGGCTGTTCCTGCCTGGCTGGAGGCCACCTGTTTCAAACTCCACAAGTGCACTGACCTATGGGCAGGTGGGTGGTGGCCTGAATGCACTTGGCATACACTTTCCCTGACTCCTTATTTTCACGTATTTGAAATACCCCCTCACCTAATGCTGAATCGGGGGAATGGATGAGAAAAGTACATGCAGTAGCTGCCACAGAGAAGGCTAAGTAACAATTAGCTATAACGCAGGAATGGCAAGCAATGCCTTGCAACCTTGAACAGCAATGTCAAGTGAATACTTCAGACTTAGACAGCAACAAAACCATAACTCTTATATATTTTCTCTGCAATAGCACCTAATGGTAAAAATTAAAAATATATCACCATGTCATTCAGTTGATAAGATTGAGATATACATGTACAGGGAAGGCCACCCCTTTATATAGGCTTACCTGGCCTCACAGTGACATTTACAAATCCTTCTCCAAAGGCATTTTCACTAGAAACTGCTACTTTGAAGGCATAAAGACCTACTGACAACTGCAAGGGAAAGAAAAGTTATACAGGTTAGCACACAAGAGATATAAGGAGCCAGAAAAGTCTTAAGCATACCAAAACCAGCATAGAGAAAGTGAGCACATAAAAGGGACTCAAGGAGTCTCATTCAGATCTGCAAAGACAATGCCAGAGGTTTGAAGCTGTTCTTATAAGATCCCCTGGAAAGGCATTTAAATTCATTACACAAATTCATCGACCTTAACAGAGGCTTACATGAGATGGATGTAAAGGATGATGGTCTACCTTACATGTATGGGAAAGCCAAGGATGATGGTCTACCTTACATGTATGGGAATCATGCATTTTCACCAAGTAGCTCTGCTGAGTTAGCTATCAGTGGTCTGGGTACCCCACTTTGAGAGACAGTCATCAGTGACAAGGAGTATGCCAGTTTATGTTGCACTATTAGCCAGATAGTCTCAGGAGAGGAAGACAACACTACCATTCGGTGGGAAGCCATTCCTCTAGTAGGTAAGCCATTTTACTTATCTTTAGGGGCCAAGAGGAGAGTGTGTTCCTTCTTGCAAGCTGATTACTTCCTTCAGCAATATCTGACAGTCACGTGTCAACTGAAATGGAATTACTTTCACTTCTAGAAATGTGCTTGATTAAGGAGTGGTCTTCAATATGGCAGAGAGCAAAAGGTAGAACACAGAATTTTCAAGTCCTCCCTCACCAAGGGGGCCCCTGGCAACCAGCCTTTTCCCCCTGAGCTACCATGCTGGGAAAAACAGCTCCAATAAAGAAAAGCTATCATAAAATCCCTCTTAGGTGCCCTTTTGCCTGCCTGCTTATGTAGTTTGATAGAATAGTTGAGAGGATGTTAACTGCATTCTATGTCATTAAACTCAAGCATTCTCTGCTCACTTACTTGAGAAAGATTAAGAGTTTGCATGTGTCTTTGTTTTAGTTCACCTTGGTAGTCCGCAGGCTGGCTTATTAAACTCCATTCATAGCTGTAGGTTGTTTCTGAGAGCAAAACAGAAATTGGAGGAGTTATGAATTGAGAGATATCTCTCACACATGCACACACATAAAATACTGGGCAGAGGGAAGGAAATTATTGCCTTAGTTCATGAACAGAGAATACTTTAGAAATACTAAACTCAATCTTCAGCAATCATCCAAGTCAAGAATAACAAGTTTTCTCTATTTATTATGTGAAATTTCTTTTTTATTATAAGAACTTATAGCTTATAGGAAATTCAGAAAAATATAGAAAGTTTTTTTTTAAAGTCTCCCTAATTATACTGTTAGCATTTGGTGACTTTACTTCCAAGATGTTTTATCTGACTACACATAGATGTGTATAATTCATTGTCATTTTTTCCCTTATATAAAAAAGGAAATTTCAATTCAATTCATCTGTTTCAGGGGTTTAAGTATACAAAAATGGATTGAAAAATCTCCCAATATTAAAATGATTCTGTCTTCTTTCTTGACACATAAGTTATTAAAATAGGAGGTAACTCAGTTGAAAGATTTAAAAGACAAACACGAAATATTATCATCTCTGTTTACATTTTATCCTATTTGTGTTAGAGCAAATATGAATAAGAGAACTGATTTGAATGAGAAATATTCAAGCACCTTAAAAATGAATACACATTAAGAAAATGTATTTGACAGGTCACAGGGTAGGTCAATGTTGACTGAATAGGACAACACAAGACAAAAAGAAGAAAGAGCATTTTGAGCATGTTCTGAACAGCAAGGTAAAAACACAGAGCTCTCTGTCATAACACTGAAGGGTTTGCAAACAAACCTTTGGACACAGCCAACTCCCTCTGCATCAGAGCCTTCAAGGGTTATCACAGGTCAAACTCTGGGATGTGGAAACCTCTCCTGCTCTCACACATGGCTCTGTTTTGCAGTATCAGAAATGTATGCTTTTCTACCCCACCCAGTTAAAGGAAACATACTGTATTTAATTTTTTATTCTCGATTTGGAATTACAGCAGTGGTCTTAAATAGTGTAAATCCATGTTGGTTCTCAACAATGAACCTCTGATATGTAATGTTAATAATGCAAAGTTAATTTAAGAAAAAAATCATTTTCTATACTTACTCCACTTTAAATTATCTCAACAAATGTTAATGTTTGTTATCACCAACGCGTTGTCATCCACACTGGCATCTCAATTTGCGACATCCACAGTGTTGGGCAAATGAACCAATGCCCTTAATAACCTGTGGAGATGTTAATAGCTACCCAGCCAGAGGTCGCGCAAGAAATACAAGTTCTCACCTGTAGGTGGCGCTGGCACAACAAAAGCCTTCAGTTCAACTTCATTTTCGGGTAATGTTATTATTAGATTATCTCCAGCTGACACCAGGAGTTCTTTCACTAAAAGTTCAATTGAGATAGTATATTCCATTACATATTAGAATGATGTTATATGACTGTACCAAGATAGATTTGTTTTAAGCATCCATAAAATAACATTTTTGGAATACTTCTTAATGGCTTTATCCAAAACACCTTTCATCTGGTTCATGAACAAACTATGACCTATGTGATGCTGAAGAATACACTTTGTCAATTTAAAACCGTCTAATTAGCTGGCACTATGATGAAAACAGTGATTCGCATTGACTTAGCAAGGTGTTGGGTACAACATTCATGTCAAACAGGTAGGGGTTGGGTCTATTTTTCTCTCATGCTACCAGCTGTTCTTGGCTCCCCAGAATACACTATTTTTGTCATAAAAAGATTGAGGGTAATCATAAATGTTTCTGTATCTTAAGTCACACACCACTCTGTTCTTCTGAAAGTAACCTCATGAATTATTGCTAATGGCCACACTCTTGGAAGATTTCCAAGAGAAAATTTAGGCAGCCTCAATATAAAAAGGCTATTTTAACAGAAGCAGTGGGAATATCCAGTCTTATCAAAAGCACTTATCTCCTAAATCAGCATTCAGAACAATGCTCCTTCACTTGCTCTATCACCAGGATTACACTGACATGTTCAATTGGCTTGACTCAACTGAACATTCATTTTTCTTGTAAAATACAATTGAGATATGTCAAGATATCACAGAGAGAAAAGCAAAGATAAAAAAAAAAAAAAGGCTGAGTGCTCTCTGGTTTCCTCAGCCGTGTAGAGATGTTCCAGGAACATGTGGCTTATTGAAATCCACTCCTCTCCCTCAGCCCTCAATCCCTCAAGTGCCTTCCAGAAACAGCTACAGAGACTCCACTGTCTACTCCTATCACTTTCACTGGCTCTCCGCACTGAAAATCAGCAGCAGTGAGCCTTAAAAGAGACATTGGGGCCCTCCCTGGTGGCGCAGCAGGTTAAAGCACAGCATGAAGATGCTAAAGCCACTTCAGCATGAGTTCAATCCCTGTGGCCCCGAGGAGATCCACATGGCGAGGCAGACCTCTCCTGACCCACCCGCTGCTCCCCTCAGCAGTAGACTTCGTCAGTCCGCCTGTTCTGCTCCCTACTCTGTCTCCGGTGAATCCTCTCACCGGCCCTGCACCTCTGGCCTGTACCCCAGTTCTGTATGAGTAAATAAATAAAGCTTTAAAAAAGAAAAAAGAGAGAGACATTGGTCCAAACATAATCCTTCACAGAGGACAGTAAGCACTAGCATGGCAAAGTACACTGCTCCAGGCAATGTAGGTAAGCGTGGCTAACCAGCCAATCATCCATTTATTTAATTTAAGAGCACTGAGTTCTACAAACTTTCATCCTAGGGAAACAAAAAAGTCATTCATCAGAAAAGAACATTTTGGTCAATAACACGAGGTATACAGAGGTGGCCCCATGTGTAATATAGGTGTGGAGCAGGCTGTGCTGCTAGTTTTATGTAAAACACTTTCATATGTTCACATATCAATGAAATAAAATCCCTCAAAACATATTACAGTATGTAATTATTCTACATAGCTTCTTCCATCATTATCTACTGAATCTCAGGATGAAAATAAATGAACTTTCCCTCCCTGGGGGTGCAAGGGCTTAAGTTGCAGCACTATGAAGCTGTCCACAGCCACTGCAGCACAAGTTCCATCCCCAGCCAAAGAGGTGACCCACATGGCACAGCAGACCTCACTTGCTTCCCCTCAGCAGTGTATTTCAGTAGATCTGTCTGTTCTGCTCCCCACTATATCTCTGGTGAATCCTCTCATGACCCCCCCACCACCACCACCCTATTCCTGCACCTCTGGCCTGCACCCCAGCTCTTAGATGCATAGATAAATCTTTTTTTTTTTTATTCTTTCAGAACTGGGGTACAGGCCAGAGATGCGTAGGGTGAGAGGATTCACCAGAGACAGAGTGGAGAGCAGAACAGGCAGATAGACGAAGTAGACTGCTGAGGGGAGCAGTGGGCGGGTCAGGAGAGGTCTGCCACACCATGTGGTCACCTCCGGGGCAGACAGGGATCGAACTCATGCGGAAGCGGCTTTAGCTTCTTAGTGCTGTGCTTTAACCCGTTGCGCCACCAGGGAGGGCCGATAAATCTTTCTTTAAAAAGAAAATAAATAAACATGGCAGAGAGGGTTTGTCTATAAGTTCGTTAATCACAGAGAAGCTCAAGAAACAGGACAAAACCTTTAGTAACTTCTTTATTAGTAAATCTAATGGGAGCTTCCCAGTCCTCACCCTGATCTCAGCCAATCAAGGTCCCTTCCTTACTTCTTGGGACTCTGTCTTCTCTTGCCTTTCCTCAGTACATGTCCCCCTCTTTCTCTACCATCTCTTGGGCACACCACTCAGCCAGCTCCATAGGCTCCTTAAAATAATGACACCTCAAATTCTACCCTTTAGGCCTCACCCTGACTTACCCCACTAGTCTCCCCAGATGGTCTCCCATGCCAAGTCATCAGTCCTCACCTCTACACTGAAGAACCCCTAGTCCTTTACCTTCAGTCCAACTGGACTTCTAGTCAGTTCCATATGTTCCTTCATCTTGATATTTCACCACTCAGCAAATTTATTCATCATTCCACCACCCTCTTCTCTTCATGTCTCTTGAATATGTTCCCTCTCTCCAGCCCTGCAAGCACTTGCTATAGCCTTTTAATCCATCCTCTTTCCACTCCATACTATTTCCTAGATACAGATAAGATCATTCCATGTCCCTGCTTAAAATCATTCAGGGATTTTCTGTAGTCCTCCAAGGTGATACAAATTCCTTAGCATGGACATGCGATCCTTCAGAATCTCTGTTTTCCACTCCAGATTCATATATATCCACTCCCTCTCTACTCAGGGGTTTAGTTCCAGTGACACCAAATTCCCTACAGTCTTCCCAAACTGTCACATGAACTTTGTACTTCTGTTCTCTTGCATAGAGAATGAATGAGATGGGGAATGCTGAGGCTGATTCCTGGCCATTGGTCAGTGATGAGCAAATATGATTATCATTATTAGACATGTTACTGCCTTGCCATAAACAACATACCAAGCCTACTTTGGCTGGCTTACTCTGCCCTGGCCTGATGGTAACTGAAAAGACTTCCTTAACCCTCCAAGAGGAGCAGATGGAGAAACCCTCTTCTGTCCCCACAGCAGCCTCTAACAATGCTCGCCACACTGTATCAAAACCATCTCTACAGCTGTCAGTCTTCTCTCCTGGACTACAGTCATTGAAGGAAAAGGCAATGTCTACACATCTTTTTAGTACCAATTTCTGGCTTGACAGATGTGCCTGGAGTCAACGAGTAAACTTGAAAACCTATCACTATTTCTCCCATTGCATTTTTTTTTTTTAATTACCTGTCCTGGGAGCAGCGGTAGGAAGCACGGGCTGATCAGATAGAGAGGACTGAGAGGGGTTGATGCTGGTGGGCAGGGTTGGGATGCTGGACTCTGGGCTCCGCGGAGTGACTGTAAGAAGTGGGCTTTCCTCCACGGTGACAACACTGAACTCTAGGCTGGCTGGAGAAGGATGATGGGAAGGCATTAGAACCTAGGAAATAAATTACATGGATAAGTTGATGTGAAAGCGGGGGGGTGGGGGGGGAGATTGAACTCTTTTTTTTTTTTTTTAAAGATTTTATTTGTGCATACAGAACTTCTTAATGGCTTTATCCAAAACACCTTTCATCTGGTTCATGAATAAACTATGACCTATGTGATGCTGAAGAATACACTTTGTCAATTTAAAACCGTCTAATTAGCTGGCACTATGATGAAAACAGTGATTTGCATTGACTTAGCAAGGTGTTGGGTACAACATTCATGTCAAACAGGTAGGGGTTGGGTCTATTTTTCTCTCATGCTACCAGCTGTTCTTGGCTCCCCAGAATACACTATTTTTGTCATAAAAAGATTGAGGGTAATCATAAATGTTTCTGTATCTTAAGTCACACACCACTCTGTTCTTCTGAAAGTAACCTCATGAATTATTGCTAATGGCCACACTCTTGGAAGATTTCCAAGAGAAAATTTAGGCAGCCTCAATATAAAAAGGCTATTTTAACAGAAGCAGTGGGAATATCCAGTCTTATCAAAAGCACTTATCTCCTAAATCAGCATTCAGAACAATGCTCCTTCACTTGCTCTATCACCAGGATTACACTGACATGTTCAATTGGCTTGACTCAACTGAACATTCATTTTTCTTGTAAAATACAATTGAGATATGTCAAGATATCACAGAGAGAAAAGCAAAGATAAAAAAAAAAAAAAGGCTGAGTGCTCTCTGGTTTCCTCAGCCGTGTAGAGATGTTCCAGGAACATGTGGCTTATTGAAATCCACTCCTCTCCCTCAGCCCTCAATCCCTCAAGTGCCTTCCAGAAACAGCTACAGAGACTCCACTGTCTACTCCTATCACTTTCACTGGCTCTCCGCACTGAAAATCAGCAGCAGTGAGCCTTAAAAGAGACATTGGGGCCCTCCCTGGTGGCGCAGCAGGTTAAAGCACAGCATGAAGATGCTAAAGCCACTTCAGCATGAGTTCAATCCCTGTGGCCCCGAGGAGATCCACATGGCGAGGCAGACCTCTCCTGACCCACCCGCTGCTCCCCTCAGCAGTAGACTTCGTCAGTCCGCCTGTTCTGCTCCCTACTCTGTCTCCGGTGAATCCTCTCACCGGCCCTGCACCTCTGGCCTGTACCCCAGTTCTGTATGAGTAAATAAATAAAGCTTTAAAAAAGAAAAAAGAGAGAGACATTGGTCCAAACATAATCCTTCACAGAGGACAGTAAGCACTAGCATGGCAAAGTACACTGCTCCAGGCAATGTAGGTAAGCGTGGCTAACCAGCCAATCATCCATTTATTTAATTTAAGAGCACTGAGTTCTACAAACTTTCATCCTAGGGAAACAAAAAAGTCATTCATCAGAAAAGAACATTTTGGTCAATAACACGAGGTATACAGAGGTGGCCCCATGTGTAATATAGGTGTGGAGCAGGCTGTGCTGCTAGTTTTATGTAAAACACTTTCATATGTTCACATATCAATGAAATAAAATCCCTCAAAACATATTACAGTATGTAATTATTCTACATAGCTTCTTCCATCATTATCTACTGAATCTCAGGATGAAAATAAATGAACTTTCCCTCCCTGGGGGTGCAAGGGCTTAAGTTGCAGCACTATGAAGCTGTCCACAGCCACTGCAGCACAAGTTCCATCCCCAGCCAAAGAGGTGACCCACATGGCACAGCAGACCTCACTTGCTTCCCCTCAGCAGTGTATTTCAGTAGATCTGTCTGTTCTGCTCCCCACTATATCTCTGGTGAATCCTCTCATGACCCCCCCACCACCACCACCCTATTCCTGCACCTCTGGCCTGCACCCCAGCTCTTAGATGCATAGATAAATCTTTTTTTTTTTTATTCTTTCAGAACTGGGGTACAGGCCAGAGATGCGTAGGGTGAGAGGATTCACCAGAGACAGAGTGGAGAGCAGAACAGGCAGATAGACGAAGTAGACTGCTGAGGGGAGCAGTGGGCGGGTCAGGAGAGGTCTGCCACACCATGTGGTCACCTCCGGGGCAGACAGGGATCGAACTCATGC